TCAGAGTGGCTGACAGAGATGGGCATTGACTCTCAACATGCCAAGGCCATGCCAGGTCAAAGAGGTGAAAAGAGGTCAGAAACTCCCACATGTGTCATGGGTATAAATTAGTAGATTTCCATGAGAGCTGTGGACCCAAATAACCTCTGCTGACCATTTTTTTTTCTCACTCACAAACTATCGCTCAAGCTCAGAAGATTTTAGTAGCATTTTAAGTCGTGATTGGTGATCTGACATCTACTGTAAATGCCTTTTGCACTGAGTTGAAATAAAGGCCATGATGGCCTTTATCACTTTATCACTGTAGTCACTGTTGCAGGGCACAGCTGAAGCGTGGGCGTCTGCAGGCACTATCATTTTTGGGGCTCTAGCAGTCTTCCTTCCTGCTGTTACTATTTATACTTTTGTAGCAGTTTGTTGAACTCACAGCCTCTTCCAACTAAAATCCAACAATTTGTGAAATTGGCACGAGAGAGGATGGCGGTTTTATCTCAGACTAATAACTGCATGTGTGCTCTTATTTAATGTGTTTTATTGTAATGTTTGGTTTTGAAACCAAGACAATTTTCTCCCACGGGAGACAATAAAGTAACAATGAGCTGAAATGATCAGAATGTTTTATTGCACTAAAATAGTTTGGCCATCTAAGAATTTCAAAATGTGTAGCGACAAAACTAAGTGGAGTTGTTGTTATTGTTGTTGTTGTTGTTGCAGATATTCAAATTGACCCCCCCTCTCGTTCACTATGCTTCTACCCACTCTTTGAACACTTGAACCCAACCCCCGCCGGCATTGACACTCAGTGCCATGGTACCAGTCTCAGCCAGCTGTGGAGGGAGGATGGCCTGAGTAGTGATATTGACTATGGTGTAGAGACGGTCCTGGTGACCCTTCTGCCACCACATACTACTGTGTGTGTGTGTGTGTGTGTGAGTGTGTGTGTGTGTGTGTGTGTGTGTTTTGTGGCACCATGGTCTTTGTTTATTTAACATCGCTGCCCTTTGTTCCTCCCTGATCATGGCAAAGACAATGGATATTGTATCTGCAGCCACAAAGAGAAGCTCTTTCTTCAGGCCCCTGAAGTCAGAGTTTCGCCACCATCTCTCTCTCTCTCGCCTGGTGACGCCTGTGACCGCTGGACAAAGAGGGCAGGACCAGTGTTAGTAGGGGCCGAGCTGTGAGGTGCTGGTACCAGCAGAGGAGCTTTAACATACAGATGAAGTCAGCGCAGAGACTTATTTTCCTTTAGCAACAGCTTGTAGACAGCACTCTACATCACTGGTTGGCACTGGGATCTCTCTTGATTGTGGAGTACAGGATCAGAAGCAGCAAATGTTTCCGGTCAGGCAGCCTTGGCTTTGCAAAGCCTTAGGTGCTTCCCTCTATCCCATTTCTGCCAATGCATTTATTAACACTGGGGATATTTGCTACCTGCTTCAACAGAGAAGTGCATGAGGTTGTCGTGAAGTCAGTGGTGACTGCTTTTGTTTGGACGCTTAATTGGGAATCGCTGCTTGAACTCTTGTTTGTCACTAATTTTTTTTCTTTTTTCTGTTGCTTTCTTGCCTGTTGCCGGGGTCTTGGTGTATGCTCATGGATTTGCAGACAGAGCGAGTCCTTTTTCATAGCTCCCCCACAGGGTGAAAGAGTTCCCCACCGTGGCGTAGATGTGTTGTGTGGTTATATGTGCGGTGTGTGCCGCCTGTGTGCTGATATATTATGCCCCCTCAGGTTGTTATGATTGCTGTATCCGGTGCATTGGGGCAGTGCCCTACCCATCCCTGGTGGCCACCCTGCTGTGCTATGCCGGCATGGCGTTATTTTGTGGCTGTGGGCATGAAGCGTTGTCCCAGACCGAGGTCCTCGTCGAGACTTACTTCGCCCGCAACGTCCAAGACTTTGTGGTCATGGCCTCCTTGTGAGTGATGCTTCAATGAATTCTCTTTATTGTGACTTTTGGCCTCTGAAGAATGGTTTCTTTTTGCTGTTTGACCTGACGTCTCTCCCTGTGACTGTCCCAGTATCAAATACTTCCAGTACGTGATCTATGGCCTGGCATCGTTTTTCTTCCTCTATGGTATCCTGCTGCTGGCTGAGGGTTTCTACACCACGAGCGCGGTCAAGCAGACGTTTGGAGAATTCAGGAGCACCCACTGTGGCCGCTGCCTCAGCCTGACGGTGAGAACAAGGAGATGGGACGGGAGGGGGAGTAAAGAGGGAGGGTAAATATGATGTCATTGTTAAGATGCTGAATGCTGGTTTTATTCTCGCTCCTAAGTTGAATGAAATGTTCTTTATTTCAGCGATTTCTACACAGATTCATGACTTATGATTAATAGCTGAATTTAATGACAGCACATTCATCACACTAAAACCTGGGCTCCTATACGCCACATCTCTGTGACCTGACGTCCTGCACTTTCTTATTTTTCGACAGTTTATCATAGTGACGTACATCTTGGCTTTCATCTGGCTGGCAGTGTTTGCCTTCTCTGCTATCCCAGTCTTCTTCTTGTTCAACATGGAGCAGACCTGCCACAACATAAACATCCTGGCTGAAACAACCCCCAGCATTAATCAGCACGGCTGGATTTGCATGGATGCCAGGCAGTATGGTGCGTTGTCCTTATAATGACTGACTGGCACATTCTCCGCCTGACGAGAATGCTAATGTGTTCGTGAAAGCGAAGGAATTCATCATTGGGGAATGGATGCAAAACTGCTTGTTGAATAAGTTATGAAAATAATGAAGATAACTGCAGCTTTATCTAAATTTCTTCACGTCTGTGTCTCTGACATGCTGTATGCAAGCAGGAACTTAAATGCGTCATAACTCATCAAGATTCAGCAATTGCAAGAGACACTTACGTCATTGTCTTCATTTAAGGTCTGCTTCCTTGGAATGCAATGCCAGGCAAGGCTTGTGGAATGACCTTGGCATCTATTTGCAAAACCAGCGAAGTGAGTAGCCGAATTCAATATTTCCTTTCGCACAGTTTAGTCTTGTGTCAACATCCTCACGTTAAAATCAATGTGCAGAATCAGTGTAAATTCTACTCTGGAATATGAATGCATATTGTGTGGTGTGTTAGCAAATGATTTAATGCAATGCTTCTGAATGTAAACTAACCTGTGTTTGATATGTCTTACAGTTCTACGTCACCTATGACTTGTACATAGCTGCATTTGCTGGTGCCGGGGTCACTCTCTTGTCACTGGTGAGCAATTGCTTTGGCAATTTGCATGCTTTCTGGTCAGATTCAATATTTCATCTGAGATTGCTCTTGTTAACACTACCAGTTGAATCACATGTAAAGGGTCAGTTTGCCCAAATTTTTAGTTGGTTAAGTTTAAAGATATGTGTCTCTTAGATTATTGCAGCCCCAATGCAATTGAAGTTAATGAAATGTGTTTTGTGGTCGTCAAAGCATGCAATAATGACTTTCAGCTGCAACATCTCCTTCATGGGCCTTGCTATGAGCAGTTTTCAGTGGAAATACTTTCTTATTTTACATTTTATTTGTTGACTCATTTAATCCATTCATGTACTTTATTCTCTATGAGTTTCATCATACAATATTAATGAAAAAGACAAAGAACATGATATAAGCATCATTTATAAATCCAAAGGTATGGAAAGAAAAATTTCAAAGAAATAGTTCTAACAAAATATGCAGATTATCAGGAGTAAAAGTCAGTTTTCAATGTGGGTACAATAAGAAAATATCTATTGGGTGGGCAGCAGAAATATCAAAAATGAATTTGTCCAACCCTGGACAACTCCAAATCTGCATGGTTAGATACCCTTTGAGGCAAGTAAGAAAATATGTTTGTTTGTTTTTTGGGGTGAATCGACCCTTTAAAAAGGTCACATATGTTAAAATGTTTTTCCCTTTCTATTCTTCCTACCTCCATCTCAATGTTTTCCTTTGCAGTTTCTGTATCTGGCTGCCACCACCTACAATTACGCAGTCTTGCGGTTCCTGGGCAGGAAAGGCGTCCGCTAGGTGCAACACCTCGGTCCCAGTCAACAACATCCTCTGGCTATGAAATGGAGAATGTCAACACTGGACTTCCATCCATCCTCTGGGAAAAAGCATCCTCCGAACGTGGATCACCTGCTATAGTATTTCTTTAGACGTGTCTAATAACAGACAAATGTTTCTCATCGCTGTTTTGTATGAACAACAGACAGAGAGATGAAGATAATTCACATCCAGCAGCCTCGTCCTCAAGTCCTCCTCTCAGATGATTCTCTTAGCTTTGTTGTTCATTCCCCTCTCGCAGGTCGCGTCTCTCGTTGTTTTTGCGAAGCTAAATTGGTGCTGATGCTGTTGTCAGATTGTGATGTATGATGTTTCATGAATAATTAAGAGCAATGACAGCTTACCTTGCAAGTCATAACTGCATGCCTGCCATTCAGTGTTTACTGATGCAAAATGGTTCTGAGTGTGATTTTGCTGCTGCCTCATTATCTTGCGTATCTTGTGTAGCAACATTGTGTGAACTAAAGCAAGGGAGGCTGACTGTACCAAAGTTCTCTGCATGGGTTTGGTGTATCCTCTCATCTCTGTGCTTTCACTCACAACACATGTACTTTGCATTCACTCATACTGCATTTTTGCTTCGTTTAAATGCCACTGTGTAGGAGGGAAACAAAGACATGTATCCATTTTTTTCTGGATGTTTTTGGGTTGCTGCTTGAAATAAGCTGTTTTTATGTTGCTGAGGTGTTGATGCTTCAATAACCAGTGACTCATGTTTCAATTGTAGCCCTGCTACTTACTGAGCTGGGTTGTGTGTATGCTCATTTTTAATTAAGGCTGAATAAACAATTTTAATTGGAGGCAGTCATTTGTGATTATTTAAACATATACAGTATGTCACGATAGAAATCTTTCATGTTGATTGTATCTCATATAATCATCTTTGGCAATTACTACCAGATATAGTATGCCGCCACTTCTTTTCATAGAACAATTCTTACAATACATAATGTTCTAAAAAAAACTTTCAGGACAGAGTACAGGGTGAGGACAAACACAGTGAATTGCAGTACACTTTGAGTGTTCTCGAGCAACATATTCATCCCAGTTAGGTTTTGGTCTCGAGAGCTTCTGCAAAGCAGCCACCACAATGACCACTTGGTCATGCAAGAACATGGCGGTCATCAAATCTCCCAGGGCCTTTGCACACACACCACACTGCAAAAACATACTCAATATTAACATTATGCAATGACAATAGCCCGTCACTCAATAATAGACATGAACCATTTGTTTGGTAAGCGGCAGAACATACCTTCAGACAGTCAGGGTGGCAGGTCACCGCAGGTTCACTGAGGTAGATCTTGACTTTTCCATCCATTATTGTCTCACAGAATGAACAAACATTGCTTTTCGTGCTGTGGAGAGAAAGTGTTAAAAAGATTATCACCAATGTTAACCTTTGTGTATGAACTTTGCGTATGTATCATAACTTAGACAATGTCTGAATTTCTACATTGCTTATGCTGAGTTTGTGTGGATTGTGGATCCTCCTTGGACTTTTGAGACACGTCACAGCTACAAATAAATAGCCATAAGCAAACAGTAAAGAAGTGAAAACATGAAAACTAGAAAATATGTGCTGTGGTTCATTTTTATAAGAGCTTACTTACGTGTTGGTATCATCAGGGTGTTGGTTCAGCTTGGTCTCCTCAGTGTGGGATGGTTTTGGATCCTTCAGAGGCTCAGGAGCAGTTTCAGTTGTCGGTGGCTCCACATCTAATGCTTCCGACAGTTCAATGAGTCTGCAGGAGAACGTATCCTGAGCAGCTTCAGCGTCTGAAGATGTTACAGGTTCCACAGCATCCTTCATACTCAGCTCCACCACATGATCTGCTGCTCTCTCAGGTGTTGGCTCAACACTTTGCTCGACAACAGGGTTTTCAACAGGCTGGACTTCACACTTAACTACCTCTTCAGCTCCAGTCCTGAAAACCAGCTCTGCGGAGGCTGCAAACTCGACTGTAGACTCTTCAGGCTTAACTGCAGTTTCGGCTGCAGCTTTGGTAGGTGATTCAGATGCAGTATCTGCCACTAAGTCAGGGACTGGGTCCACACTCACTTGGAGAGCAGCATTCTCTCCTGCTGCACCTGTCACGTCAGGTGTCTCAGGTGATGACTCCACAGCAACCTCAGCTACAGCTTCAACACTTTCTTCTGCAGCATGTTCTGTAAGACCTTTCTCAGGAACAACAGAGGTTTCTGCAACCGGATCTTCCATATGAGCATCCACTGAGTCCTTGGCCTCATTGTGTTCTACGTTTGACTGGTCAACTGTTTTATCAGTTTGTTCTCCCTTGTTTTCGGGACTTGTGTTGGCAACTGTTTGCTCAACTGGCTCCACAGGAGACAATGCTTCTGGATTTTCCTCTGTTGAAGAAACTGGCTGTGGTTCACCATTTGGGATTTGTTCTGCAACATGAACTTCTGCAGAGGCGTCAGCAGCCCTGACATTTTGTTCAACATTTGACTTGTTTTCTGCAGTTGTGTTGGCAACTGTTTCTTCTGGATGTGCCTCATCCTTCTGGATACCTTCTTCTGTGGGTGCTTGGGGCCTGTAACAGAGGGAGTTACTTATTCCCAGCTGTGCAGAAAAGACATAGGAACAAAAATCCCTCGACTCAGCAGTTACACTCAATGTAGAGATACTCCAATACTAACTTTGCATCATCTGAGGTCTCCACTGTTGACCCCTCAGGCTGAGCATCTTCTTGGGGAGGAATAACTTCACCATTTCCCTGATTAGAAGAATCTCTAAAACATAGAGCAGAAAATAACAAACATATACAGTACATCTGGCACAAACATTCAATATTTGGGGTTTTAAATGTTCAGACTAAACTTAAGATAATAATGCAAACCTGAAAACAAGTTTGCATTTGTGGTTTCTCATTGTTTGCAGTCTATTTTCAATTAAAATTCAGAACATCCATACCCTTCAGATGGAGAGAACTGTGTATTTTTCGAGAGGAGGGCTTAGTGGCGAATCTGATCTAGGGTAAGATTTTGAAACACGCTTTGAAAAGAACCTTGGCATTTACAAGCATAAATCAGACAACATGCAGTAGCAAATTATATTTTGGTAATTAATGCTCCACAGTTAATGAAACATTTCATCAACTTTAAACTTTGGCTCAAAATTGCCAATCAAAGCCAAATGCTCCATATTGAGATGATGAAAAGCAGGGGATAATTTAAATGTACAATAATACGTCAGGTAACGTACACTTTCTTATGAATAAAGTGTCAAAAGATAAAACCTTATCAGTGAGGGAGGATAAGATGTAGACGTGGCAGTTTCAGAATATCACTCATTCTTCTTTTATATAAGTGACAGGTTCATCTATAACCTTCACATAAAAAAAATGTTGTGCAAAAAGACCGACCTGCATTACTTGATGGGCACAACAAATCACACAGGAGAAAAGGGGGGAAGCTACAATGATTGATGAAGTAAAACTGACAAATAGCCTTAAATGTCAACACAATGTTTACTAATCATGTAAATATCACCAAACATGTTGCACTGAAGTGAGGGGATGGAGCTGTTTTCTTGAACAAGGAATGTGATCCAATTACATGAATTAGGCAATTTGGTCCTGTTTGTGTATCTCATCTGTTGACATTGCTGATAATAGGCGAGATACACACACAATTGAACTGGATCAATTATGCTTGTGGTAGCAAAACATCTTGATAATGATGTAACTCTTGATAGATTGTACGGTCATGGTCTGAACACACTGAAAAAAAGGCTTGTGGACCTTTTAATTAATTATTAAGTGAGTGGAACTAATTATTCAAATACATTTGCATGGTGTTGTTAGGAAATGGTAATAGATAAAGACTTATCTTAATCTGGCAAGGAAAAGTACATAGATATTTTGATATTGAATGCTCTATATCTAATTTGGTAAGATGATGTTGAAATAAAAAATATTCAAAACCAACCAAAAGAGAAAAATACAACCATTTTGCAGTGATACAGAACTGTTTCTTTTGTGGAAAAACTTTGTCTTATTTTTTTTGTGGTTCTTTATTTGAGTGCTATTTGTAAATGTATCTGCATTGTGATGCAATTTATTGATTGTATCTGAAATCCGTACAATTGGACACTTATTTTTGTAACAGGAACTTGGAACCTTTATTTTGAAAGAAACCTTCCTTTAACTTCCGGTTATCTTCCTCAGGCTTGTGATGCTAGGCGGTTCATGCTAGGAAGGGAAGTGTGCAGTCCTTACTAAACATAACCGCCTAATTTAAACTTTCTAAAAGCGAGAGACATGTAGCGGCGACTCTAGTCTAAACACTGCAACTTGGTTTGTAATTTTAAGCGCAGATTTGTCTCAAAAACCATTAGGCTTCACACTATTGTAACGTAAGCTAGTTTATAACTGTAACGTAACGGTTCGCGAAGTCACACAACCAGCACAGGACGAGTCCCCCACTAACTAAAACACCCCAAGACCAGTAAGTCAGTTGGTATTCCAACAAGTTTACCTACGGAGAAAGTGCTTTGTGACAGATAGTTCAACTTCATTATTACTTAGTCTTAGTCAGTGCCTGTGTCAAATGACAGGAACCTGCAGTCAGTTAGTTAATTAGAGAAGTTAGCTACTAACACGCGAAGGAAACGTCATCATAGCTAATATTTCTCGGCTGGTGTTACACCACTAATTATCCGATTTGAAACAACTACCAAAGTGCAAGTACGTTTGCAGTCGATTAATGTGGAAACCGTAGAGACAGATCAGGTCGTAGGTAGAGAAATGAAAACTGTAGAATCTCGTTGTTTTTTTTGCAATAATAAATAATATTTTAAGAGATTTGAATCAGGATCTTATAAACTTCTTCATACACCATTTTTAGCAAATTCAAACTTGACTAGTCAGGTCTTTTACATCTACACCTTGACTTATGTGGTCTGGATGTAGGAAGTGCAGCAATAAAATGCATTTTTTGTTTTCACATATTAAACAGGGTGGAATGCTGATTGAACTTGTTTTCGATCGAGAGCTGGGTTGTGTATTCTGGATGGACAAAGAGGAGCACCGTGACCCCTTTTAATGCCCTCATGGGTTGACTAGAGATCCATCAACAAAGAGCCCATCACACGGCTGTTAATGCATGAGAATTTTAAGTGAACAAATAATCTGCTGAGGGATTGTATAACTTTAGTTTCATTCATATTCCCCTTTAATTAGTGAATCCAAATACAACTTCAGCCTTGTGCATCCATCTAAGTGGTGAACTTGAATGTTGGATGGAGATTCTTTTGCTCTGGTTCTTGAGCTTGTACACATTAACAGTTGGGACAGCGATCTTGTAAAATAAACTTGGATCAAAATAAGGAAGGAATGTAATCCCCTTTACCATTAAGGTTATTAAAACATAGTTTTTTGTAAGATAACTACATAAGTAGGCTGATTGTGTGTATCATATTTGTTGAATGTGTTATTCATGCTTGTGTTTCCTGTGCCATCCCAGAAAGAAATGCCATCGAGGAATCATCTTGACAAAGTCGGCAGGAAGAAGAAGAAGAAATGGACCGAGGAGGCCATGGAACGTGCGCTGATCGAGGTGAAGTCGGGAAGGTGTACGGTGAGACAGGCCGCCAAAGAGTTCGGCGTCCCTAAATCGTCACTGGGGGACAGAGTCAGTGGACGGGTGACACCAGGAAGTCGCAGCGGGCCGGCTCAGCTCATAACATCTGCAGACGAGGAGCTGTTGGTGGAGTTCTCTTTACACATGTCCAAGCATGGTTTCCCACTGACAAAGCAACAGCTGGTGTCCTTTGCCTCGTCCATTTATAAGCGGCAGCATCGGAGGGTGGCATTTTCTAAACTGGGCCAGACCTGGTGGCTCAATTTCCGAAAACGTCAAGAAAAGAACATCACCATTCAGCCAGCGGACAACGCTGTCCGTGGGAGGACAACGTGTGTGAGAAAAGAAGCAGTGGATCAGTTTTTACATTTGCTGAGCACTGTCATGGACACTCGCGGGCTCAGAGACAAGCCTCATCAAATCTTCAACTGCAATGAGACAGGATTTCAGCTGGGCAGGAAGAGGGTGATTCTCCCCAAATCTACCAGTCTGGGCTACAAGCCAACGCCAGGCTCGAGGGACCACATCTCCGTCCTGGCTTGCTTTAGCGCAGCTGGAGAGGAAATTCCCCCATTTATTATCTACTCAAAGGCCTACCCAGGGGGAGTATGTTACAAGACTCAAGGGCCTCCGAATGCCCTCTATGGGTGGTCAGACTCGGGGTATGTCAACTCTGACCTTTTCAAGAAATGGTTCCTCAAGCACTTCCTCCTGCACGCACCGAAGGGCCGTCCGCTGCTGCTGATTTTCGATGGTCACAGGTCTCCCCTGAACTTCGAGGTGGTGGAAATGGCTCGTAGCGAGGACGTCGTCCTCCTGTGCCTCCCGCCTCATTGCTCCCACATCCTGCAGCCGCTCGACGCCGGTCTCTTTGTTCTCCTGAAGCAGCGTTTTGCGGCACTCGTAGGTGACGGTTGCGCCACCGACACTCACTTCGCAGTCAGCAAAAAGGAGTTCTCGGGCGTGTTTAAAGAGACGTATCAGGTAGCGAAGGAGGAGGAGGGTGTAAGGATTGTGAAGGAAGGCTACAGGAAATGTGGCATCTACCCGCTGAACCACTTTGCCATCAACGAGGGTCATTTAATGGCGTCGCACAGCATGTGCCCAGCAGCTGGACCCTCCTTGTCCACATCAGCACAGGGACTGCACAATGTAGGAGAGCTCACAGCTGCTGGACCCTCCTCCTGACTCCTGACTCAGCAATCTGTACTTTTTGAGTGACTGCATAATTGAACAAAACCTGTGTAGTTCTGTCATTGGATACTGAATGGGGGTACACTCCAGCTTGAGTATTGAGCACTATCGGGGTCCCCAAGATAAATCTAAAGGAGTCAAATGTTTTTTTAATGCAACAAGAAAGACAAAATGAGGGAGATTCTCTCATCATTGTTTGTTTCTTGTAACATATCGGTAACTTTCACCTCTTCGGGCCTCTAAACATCATTCACATGAAACAAGCGGAGACGGAACATTCATGTCAAAGTCAAGGCCGTGACGTGTGGAGGTTTCTTCACGAGCCAAAAGAACTCCTGCTGTACGACAAAGTTACTCAAGCTCAAGAATACGGACAGTAAGTTCTGCTTGATTTCTATTTTAGTGGCGTAAGCGTTGGATTAGTGTGCGAGGTGAGCGCTGTGAGCTAGCTAGCTAACTCTGTTCTGGACTGATCGAAGTGGTTTAATGTGTGTTCAGCTGACATATTAAAGCATGAGAACAGATTAAACAGATTACATCTTAGCCACATTGTCAAATGTTATCTTGTTTGAGACGTAATTACAGGAACTAGGCCGTTGTGAAAACTTAATAAGAACAATGTTTTTTTAATACTGATAGAAGTTAATTCATTTGTGAATTATATTATTCCTTTGCTTGAGTATTCTGAATGTACTCGGCCCATTAAGTAGTTATAAAAGGAATGTACTGCCTGAATAACGAACTATTGAGGAAAGTTAAGCCTTTTTTTTTTATTATTTGGGGAGGGGTGTCTTCAGGTGATCTCAGGGAGAAAATAAATGTATTTTTTAAATATTTTTGCATCACAAATCTGTCCATAAGCTTAACAGGTAAACACTAAAGGGGTTTTTAGATGTGTGTGTGTGTGTGTCATGTACGTGTTCAAGTCAGGTGATGTAATGTCACTGCAATAGGTACAGCTGGCAACAATACACAGCGGGGAACACATCTTCATGTATTAGTAATTATGATAACTGTGTAAACAGTCAGTGAATGTTGCAGAACATATTTCGATCTATTTAAACAAAGTAAATTAATATGATCATTGAATGCCGCGTTACAGAAAATGATCCTCGCCTTTTTTTTCTGCTGAGCAAAACACTGAGGTTAGTATTTGACGCACTCGATCACTAAAAGTTGATGGCTGGTAAAATATTTATACGGCTCAAATTGTGATTAATGTTCTTATTATGTTCATTAGCCGAAAAGAACCCTTTTGGTATGGAAGAGCAAACATGCAGCTGTAAAGCAGTTCCTGTGGGCCTTTAGTAGGAATACTCAAGTAATAACTGTATTCAGATCAATGCTTCATCAAGCAACTAAAGCACTGGTCTGTATGGACGGAGCAGAGCTGCCCAGGGCTCAGTTAATCTTTATGTATGTAAATATCACACATAGTGGTTTATCACTGAAGCCGTTATACTTTTTTAATGCACTGACACAACAGAGTATTTCAGTTTAAGATGTTGCAGACTGCAGGACTAATATTCAAATATCATAATGTTTTGTTCAACCCCAAATAAGCTAGTTTGTTAATGACGTCTAGAAGATCTCATGCATTCAGTCATGATGGGGAAACAGAAGCTTTCTGAAGCTCTGGTGTTCACTGCTTTCAAACACTTGATACTGTCAGAAATGGCGACATCTTCTGGCCAACCCGTGGTATTGCATCGGTACGGATGGATTGACAGGTAGAAAAAAATGTTTTTACTGCTTTCATTTCTCCCGTTGTTGTGAATGCAATGTCGACAACACCTCGAAGAAAATCCGCACACTGCGTTAAACGCCCTCAGCTATTTTAACTATGCAACGTTTCGGTCGAACAGAGATCTTCGTCAGGCGTATTGCTCTGTAGCTCTGAGAGATCTAGATCTCAATTAATATTTATGTGAGCTTCTGATACAGTGTGCGGATCTCTTGTTTAATTCTCTCCTTTTTTAGATTGTTTTTGATCCAGTTCCTGTTGAAGTTTTTGTTGGGATGTGCGTACCCTACATACACCACCCTGTACATCTCTCTGATACTCACTCAAATTTCTTGGCTGTGGACAGGACGTATGAGTGTGTGACTGAAGAGGGTCCGGTCTCCACAGCACGGTCCGTCCTGCAAGACAGAAGAAGCTGTTGCACCATTTTTCTCTCAAGACAGTTCGTGCTTGTGATATAACAATTGGTAAATGCAGGAAAGCAAGATAGCATCAGATTTAGATTTGTAGCTTTTTTTTTTTAATTGAATTTACTTATAAATTATGACTTTGTTTTGAATGTTGCATCTTGATTTCTGAGAGTACCTCGCTTCTTCTTGCTTCTGCTTGGATTTATGGATCCAACAGCCGTCATTTTTCAGTGCATTCCGCACCCTGGTGGTTTGAAACACCGTGTTTCTGTTAACCTCTACAACACACACACACACACACTTTCTGTCAGAACTGGGTACCATGAATACATGCATAACTCTTTAAAAAAAAGGTTGAAATGTTTGATTGAAGTGTGACTTACCCTTTGACATGATGCTGGTGTTTTTTCAGATGTTCAACCTGATCAAAGTATTTAATGACATTTTTTCCAGGTTTGTTTTTAAGTTTCCATAGAAATAAAACAAAACGGTAATAGCAGTGTACACAAATGTAATATATTATATCTGCCTCTGTTGAGCCTTTTTTCCTGACTTCAGACACAACCCGTCACACCTGCATTCTGCAGCACAACTCACTCAGGATGTAAACATGACATCAAAGCATTTCTTATTTATGACCTAACCATTCTGAACAACTATGCTCCTTTGAATCTGAATTAAGGAGCATTGATAAGCATTGAAATTACATATTTACACTAAAGCTCACCACATTTGTTTAAAATGAAACCGGTTGAAAAATGTTCTACTAGAGTAAAGAAAGTCATCCTGACAGATTGTAATAATGTTATTCTCCATATTTGCCGAGGATCTTAACCTGCCCTGTGTGGACAGTGGTCCTGTCACACTGGGCATCTGGTCCGTATTCTCTTTGAGCTCCACTTAACATTTTGACCTCCACTTAGTGTTTTAATCTCCTGTGATGAATCTCGCAGGAGATGTGCCAGCACCAATTAGCCAGGTCAAATACATTATGCATAGAAAATTAAAGCAACTCTGGCTCCGTAATGAGCCCTTACCCCTGCATAGCCAGTGGGGAAAAAACAACTAGTGTGCAGCACATTCTTGCACCAAATTGTGCTCTCACCTGTTGAGGTCAGCGCTGTCAGAGCAGAGTGGTGTCGAGCTTCCTCCGGGTCTCTTGTCTCATACGGGCGAGCAGGTATGAAGATATTTCAACCTGAGCCCCCCCCCCCCCCCCCTTCTGTTGTTTTAGATTCCTCCCACTGATAGCACCTGGATGCTGTGCTATGCAGGTCGATCGAGGGGGTGGGTGGGTTGGTTTCCATGTAAATCAAGGGAGTGGGCAGACAGGTGACATTGTTTTTTAGTTCCGTGTTTCTTGAAATGTTACATCGCAGAGTTGCCAGATCCACACATTCACATTTAATTTCTAAGGTGTGAGACGACCTCTTTAAACCAACAATTTAGTGCTTAGTGCTTGTTTGTCTTTTTCATACTGTACTGTAAATGTGGCCAGAAATGAAACCTTGCAGCTCATGAAGAAATTTCCCAAGAAACCTTTTTAGTGTTGTTTCCTCTTGGCTCCAAAGAAAGATGTTCCTTCACAAACAGGCCGTTCCAGTTGGGGGAAATCATGAAATACTGATCTGAAGCTACATGGAATTTAATCTACTCAGCTGTCTTATCGTATCCAATCAAAAATGTGCAACTTTTCCAGAGAAACTAAAACAAATGTTAAGTAATTTGACATTGTAATCAACTGAAATGTTCACAGTGTGGTGTGTGGATTATTCACAGTATCTGGGACACTGTCTCTGTAGACAGACGTTTTTTAATGTTATTAAAAATAACATGGTAATATATAAAAAAAAACCTGCAGCCAAAATGATCGGCATGGCTTGATACATAGGTTAGTAAGAAAATATTTGGGTGAACGTATCCCTTAAACATAGTTAAAAAGCCAATAGAACTAGCACACTTTATCTTTTTTCCTCTCACACTAACTTACGCACACAAACACAGGTAGCTGCATAAATTCAGCATTGTGTCATCCCTTCTTTGATGCTGTGTCTCCGGTTGAAACATTTGCACTTGACAATGTCAAACAACACCTTTTAGAGACAAAATATTTGAGGAATCCAGCAGAGCTTCCTCTGTTGGTTTGCCTCCTTGAACCTCAGCCAACGTTATCGTCAGTAAAAATTCCTCCTGCACATTATCAAAACAAGATGAGTAGTAGTTGTAGGTGTATTGCTCAATGAAAATTGTGGTGGAGGAAACAGGAGGACATTCTGTCCTTAACTGCATTTTTGTGTCATTAAAACATATTCCATAAACAACAAAAGGGACAAAGTGAAAAGAGGAAATTTCAGTAAGTTTTAAAACCAAAAGGTATCTTTTGTTACTATCTAATTGGATGCTCTTCTATAAGTATTGTCACTACAAAGCCAAATACAAATTAAAATGTATCATGGCGTGTGTGCTTTGTCTTTGATGTTCAAGTATGTGTGTTCTGTTTCACCCTGCTGCAAGACCAATCTCCCCTTGGGGAAATTTACCGACAGCCTTGTTTTTCTGTGGCCATTTTGGCTTGGCTGCTTACATTGTCATGTATTTCCATTTTAGTTTTCAAAAAATGGCCTTCAAGAATTGATATTATAAGACTCATATGCCTACTACTTCAGCATTGTATAGCTTGCACATTATGATGAAATATAACCACAATGCAATCTTGAAAATCTGGCCATTATGGATGCAATGCAGCCATAACATGATATGTGACTTTCAAGGCATTCGAATTACTACAAATCAAAGGCAAGTTTAATTTTGATCATAATGTTTTGATGCATCTGATATGTTCTGCCTCCTGTATTCATCACTACAACGCTGCACATTTGTATGAAGGCACTTCACTTGTTCTTGCAAGCAAAGGTAGAGTATATGAAAAACATTCAGAAACTGTAGAATGTTTGTTCAATAAGACTTCTATTCTCTGATCACAGCGACAGTTGTGTTTGAATAATATTTAGATAAATATTTCAAAATAAAATATGAAGATTTAGTAGTCTTCTAATTCCCGAGTGTTCTTGAATGCATCTTTTCCACCATAGTTTCTACAGGAAGTGACGTCACACGCTGTGTCGGGTCTTCTTTTTGTCGTGTGGTAGCAGCAACGTAAGTGTTATTTCTCTAGAAATAATTGCTAAAATGCCGATGATTTGAATTTGAATTTTATTTAGATAAAACACCTTTTTGAAATAGTTCGTGTCTAATTGTACACACTAGGCAGGTGAGGCGAAGGAGCATTGTTTTCCTCAACAGCGTTGTCAAATCAGGCTAGCATGCTAGCAACTTATTAGTTAGCTGCACTGGCTAACTAGCTAGCTTGTTTTCTGTCCTTTATCAATAACTAGTAAACAACTTATTTGCCTAAAAACAGAGATCATATGATTCACAAAGACAACAGCCTAGATGTTAACCTTTTTCATCGTATCAGTTAAAACGTGTTTGGTAATTTCACTAACTTAGCTCATTCAGTTTCTCTCAACCATAATGAGTCATAAATGCTTATATTGTATACAACTACATCTACACAACCATATTACCTGTAACGTTCATTTATAAGATATTGAACACTTCCCCTGCAGACAAGATGTGGATGGTGGATTCTTAGCTAGACAATATACGTCCTCACTTTTAGGTTAAGACATTTGGAGTAGCATAAAATATGTTGTTGGTGTGCACTGTTCTGAACATCACTTGGTTTTCAGTTCACGTTTGTTCTCCTTCCATGTCCTACTACAGCAGAGCCATCAAAGATGACTACAGCTGCCAGACCAACGTTTGAGCCAGCGAGAGGAGGGAGAGGTAAAGGAGAAGGAGGAGGGGATCTGAGTGCCCTGTCTAAGCAGTACTCCAGTCGAGATCTTCCAGGTCACACCAAGATCAAGTACAGGTCAGTTAAGCGAGCACGAGTGGAATTGAGTCTTGGGTTGTAATCGGTGTGTTGCTGAGTTGCGCAGATTTACATCCAGTACGAGACTTTCTGAACTGTTTCATGCTGCACCTTCTGTCCACTCACTCTGAAGGTGGATGTATGCTGGAATCAAAAGATGTTTTTTTGTGTTGATAAAATGTTCTCCCGTCATAAGGCAACCTACCCAGGATAACCCAGAGGAGGTACGTGCCCGTGACTTCCGCAGGGAGCTGGAGGAGAAGGAGCGTGTAGTTGCACGTGAAAAGATCAGAGAAAGGGGACCAAGAGGTTGGTCTGTCCGTAGGGACTTGTTAAGCATCTTCTTTAGTTAATATTTCTGACCAATAGTTTAAACCCATGAAACACCAATTTTCCAGACCACACCACATCGTCATCATCTTCGTCATCATCTTCAAAGAGGCCCAGACTGGATCAGATCCCAGCAGCCAACCTCGACGCTGACGACCCTCTCACTGATGTAAGTGCTGGCACTGCACACTTGGGGGTGATTAGCACTCATCAAGCTCCCTCACCAATGTTGCTCGGTTGTTTTATAGGATGATGAGGACGAGGACTCTGATGACGACAGTGATGACGACGACACTGCTGCTCTTCTGGCAGAACTGGAGAAGATCAAGAAGGAGCGGGCTGAAGAGCAAGAACGCAAAGTAAACTATAATTTCAGATTGACGTGTTTGAACCCGGCTGACGGCAAAATCTGCAAATTAAGACATGGGTTTTGTTTGAGAGGAGGCAAATGCCTCATTTAGTGACTTTGTTTCTTCTCCCATCATAGGAGCGGGAGCAAAAGGCAGAGGAGGAGCGGATTCGCATGGAGAATATCTTGAGTGGCAATCCATTGATCAATTTGGCAGGGCAGCAGCAGCAGCAGCAGCAGCAGCAGCAACAACAGCAGATAACCCAGACTCTGAATACCTTCAGAGTAAAGAGAAGGTATCTTACAAACACAGATATGCCTGCACAACATGAGTGTCTCATTTGAAGAAAGAAGTTCCCTTTTACTTTCCTCTAACCAACAACATTCAATTTGTCATTGTCTTTCTAGGTGGGATGATGATGTTGTTTTCAAGAATTGCGCCAAAGGAGTAGACGATGCACGGAAGGAGAAACGCTTTGTCAATGACACACTTCGCTCTGAGTTCCACAAGAAATTTATGGAGAAATATGTAAAGTAAAGGACTGTCTGTTCATTTTGTTGTTGTTTTCCCGTCTCATCTCTTTGGTCTCCGCCCGACTGTTGCCCTCTGTCCCAAGAGTGATAGATGGTATTTAGATACATTCTGTACTCAAATGCATTAGTATTTGTACAGTCAACACATAAAAGGTTGTATATAAAGAGCTGGTGAGGACTGAAATTGTTAGATTCAACATCTGTGTCTTTCTGTATTTTTTTTTTAAATATTGATTTCAATAAACATCTTTAAGGCTGTGTTTAAAATGGCTCGCAGGAATTTATTTTAGAACAATGGATGTCATTGTGGGGAATTATTTTAAATTTTTTTATCACAGCTAAGTTATTCTCCCTTTTTCCCAATGGTATCTAGTTTTGGTACAGCTCTAACAGAATGGGTTTATATAAATCCAAACTTATGGACCTTAAAAATTTAACTGACTTCAACATGGTACAATATATTTATAAGAACCGTAGTTCAGAATCATTTCTTGGGAATTGTTTATACAAAACAAATTATTCTACACATCCACACAATTTAGAATCACATAATTTCTAATTCTCTAATGTCATCTGAGGGGCATGTTTGGATTTCATGTCTGCCATTAGTCTTAAAGCGAACCGTATATTCAATAGTCGTTTACAAAGTTTAATTGCTCACATTCAACATTTATTTGAATATGAATAACATATAAATGTTCAGGAATGAAGCAACATAAAACTATGTTGCAGTGAGTGCTGTCGTTGTTAAATTATTCCAGCAGCTGCAATCAGAAAAATAAAACTAAAACAATGAAGTTACCGAGATGTGGCATTTATGGGACAGGAAACTCGGAGAATGTGCAAAGACGTCCAAAGCAATGTACGTGCACGTATGTTTTTCCTCAAATAGTTCAAAAATATTATACTATGCACTTTTTTAATGCACAGCAATCTGTGGTATTCCTTATGAAATATACCCCACCGAACGTCTGTTACAGCTGTTTCAGAACGAGTCGTACACAACAAAAACGTCCAAAGAGCAGTGAAGGCGTCACGCAACACGCCGCCAGGGGGCGCTCCGTTCAACAATCGCTTCCTTGTGTCAGGGATTGGGAGGCTGCTGGGAAAACATGGCAGCTTCCTTTTGTTGGTGGGGATTTACTGAACTCCGAGGGGGGATTTAAACGCATTATTCGGTGGACAGACACATCTCCGGTCGCGTACACACCGCTAGAGTCATCCAAACACTTGAAGCAGGAGGAACATGGAGAAGAGTGGCAGCATCGACAGTTTGGGCTCGAAGCGCTCCTCTTCCCGACAGCCAAGTGTTGATTCATTGTCCAGGTAGCTGAACCCACCACAACACCGCGCTGTCTAAGCTAGCCTCAGCGAAAAGTTTTGAAAGTAACAGTAGGCTTCGTGTGTGTGTTTAAACGTGAGCTAACATGTCTAATCCTGATGCACCGTTCGTGACATTAGCCGTTCAGAAGTGACCCTTACACCACAGATCGTGTCGGTTGATGTGGTGAACATATTGAAACCACTGATGACTAATCTGGGTACCAATTAACGGCGGTTGTCATTGTCGGCTATTAGGATTTATAATGAGAAGGTGGAATACTCATTTGTACTGTGAGGTGTAAATGTAAGAAAATGTTTATTAGAAGATATCAGAGTCCAGAATAATGTATTTACATACTCAGTCTGACCAACAGTAACAGTTAACGGTGGTTACAATAATCGACTGAGGTGTTTTTGATTAATTACTTAAAGGCTAGGGCTACAAAACCTCTGAAAATATGAAAAGAAATGACACTGTCACTATTTCCTAGAGCCCTCTGTGACTCATACTAACTCAGTCTGACTAACAACTAAAACCCCCCAAGTTGAAAATACAACATTCATAACATTAGTTCAATCCTTTTTGTTATTTGGCCGGTTTATTTCATCAAATATTGGTTCCAGCACACATTAAAATGAGACGAGGCTGTGGTTCCACCATACTGAGACTGAAAGTATTTCCAGTATTTCATCACTTGTGTTTTGTTTTTTTTACCCGTCACCAGTACTTCCACCTCTCGCTCTGACCGGTCTGCCCAGGCCAAGCCACCCTTTGCCATGTCCTCCGAGTCTGTGGCCGCCTCTGCAGACCTCTCCCCAGAGTTCAGGGTGAGTAGCCTGCGCATAGTTCACTGACGTCCTGCTGCTTCATTATTTACTAATGACAGAGACTGAAGCGTGACTCTCGTCCTTTCTGCACCCCCTTTCAGGTTAAGCCCAAACCGGCTGCCAAGGTACGCCATGGCAATGCGTTACACACTACCCAACATAATAATTAATATGATTACTCCGCATATGTCATGGGTTCAGGTCAAGGGGCCGCTCCACTTTCAGCTCTAATTTGTATGGAATCTCTCCAGCAGGTGCTCAGAGATTCAGACAAAGAAGAGCCGCAGTTACTTCCAAATGAAACTGTGCAGGACATGGGTACGTTCTCTCTTCGCTGCATAAAGGAAAAGGTTTTTGTAATATATTCGATATAATGGCTAAATCTTTTTTTTCTTGTTTTATTTTATAGCCCAAGATGTGACCTATTTCTGTCCTTTCATTGGAGCACTGAGGGGAACAGTGATAGTTACCAACTACAGACTTTTCTTCAGATGCATGGACAGGGTATGCTTCATGGGTTTTCACAAAAAGCACTTGAAGCGCATTATTTTGAAGGATCACACTGTTTTTTTGTAATATATGTTGTTTGCTTCTAGGAGCCATCATTTGTGCTGGACCTGCCCCTTGGGGTGGTGAGTCGTGTGGAAAAGATTGGAAGTGCATCAAACCGTGGTGACCTGTCCTACGGGCTGGTTTGTAAGGTGAGTAAGGTGGAAATGTTCCGGAATCACTACACCTGGTTTACAGGTTGCAGAGCTAAGACAGCACAGTAGATGACAGTTATACGGTGCACAGGCTAAGGCATAGAGGGTGATCCTCCTCTCATCCCTGCTGTGCCAACAGCACTGACAGAAATCATAGTTAAGAAAGAGTGAGGGTATGAACACGCTCCGTGTCAGCAGTATCATGCAAACATACAGCTGTTGACCATGACCTGCTTCTCTGCCTCTCTGCAGGATATGCGTAATCTACGATTTGCACACAAGCAAATGGAGGACACACTGAGGAAGTCCATTTTTGAAGTGCTGGTGAAATTTGCGTTTCCTGTTTCCAACGGGCTGGTGAGTGATTGTCGGCCACGCTGTCGCTGTAGCTCTGCACTGTCTACTGGTGGATGAACTTCTCTCCCACTCTCCACAGCAAATATACGCCTATGAATATGGGCAAGTGTTCCCCGAGAACGGATGGAAGGTGTATGACGCTCTCTCGGAATACAAAAGACAGGTATTTTTAAAAAACAACATCGGATGCTTAGCTCAATGTCACAGAAAGCCTATTACATTGGTTGCTTGTGTGTTTTTTTTTAAAAGGGTATACCCAATGAAAGCTGGAGGATAACGAAAGTAAACGACCACTACGAGGTTTGTGACACTTACCCGTCGACTCTGGCGGTGCCCGTCAACATACCGGACGAAGAGCTGAAGCGAGTAGCTGCCTATCGAGCCAAGGGAAGGATGCCTGTGAGTGACCGGCCTTCCTCATGGATCTAACTGTTCCTCTCCTGTGCAGCTGGATTGTCGGACTGTCTGTGGTCTTATTCGGTCGTACGTACGTTGTTGTATAGGTGTTGTCGTGGATCCATCCAGAGAGCCAGGCGACAGTGGCGCGCTGCAGTCAGCCCATGGTCGGGGTGAACGGGAAGCGCAGCAAAGAGGACGAGAAGTACCTCCAGGCGATCATGGACGCTAATGCTCAGTCGCATAAACTCTTCATCTTTGATGCAAGGCCTAGCGTCAACGCCGCTGCGAACAAGGTTTATTACATGTGTTTAAAAAAGGAAACCCAGGCTCTCCATTGTTAAGTGGATGAACCATCGCATCACCAACACTGTCTCCACTTTTTCTCTCTCTCTCTTTTTCAGATGAAAGGCGGCGGTTATGAAAGCGAGGACGCGTATCAGAATGCTGAGCTGGTGTTCTTGGATATTCACAATATCCACGTGATGAGAGAGTCGCTCCGTAAGCTGAAGGACGTGGTCTACCCCAACATTGAGGACTCCCACTGGCTCTCCAACCTGGAGTCCACTCATTGGCTTGAGCACATCAAGGTGAGCATATACTGACGCATCACTGTGATTGCAAACTTGGAAAGGAATGACTTGGAAGATGAGCCATCTCCCAGGCTAAATTGTTTGTGTGTGTTTGTAGCTGATCCTGGCAGGAGCGCTGCGCATTGCAGACAAGGTGGAGTCTGGGAAAACGTCCGTGGTGGTGCACTGTAGCGATGGTTGGGACCGCACGGGCCAGCTCACCTCCTTGGCCATGCTCATGCTGGACAGTTACTACCGCACCGTCCGCGGCTTCGAGGTGCTGCTTGAGAAAGAGTGGCTCAGCTTTGGTCACCGCTTCCAGCTGGTAAACACGTTTTCACGCACTCATCGAGTTTAGTAGATCACGTGAGTGGCCGTCCCAGTTCCGTCACCAATTGTGCTTTTCCTCTTCTTTTAGCGTGTCGGTCATGGCGACAAGAACCACACAGACGCGGACCGCTCGCCTGTTTTCATTCAGTTCATCGACTGTGTCTGGCAGTTGACTCGCCAGGTAGGCAATAACTGGTGCTGATATGTGGAAGAATAAAAAAATATCCTCCGAATAAGACTTTGTTTCAAGGACACTAATGAAGCTGTTTTCATTGAAGTTTCCTGCGGCGTTTGAGTTTAACGAATACTTCCTGGTAACCATCCTGGACCACCTCTACAGCTGCCTGTTTGGGACCTTCTTGTGCAACAGCGAACAGCAGAGGTTGAAGGAGGTAAGAGCATTTTGTTTCACACGGCATTTGATTTTACTGTTGCAAAAATGAGACGTTTTAAAGTCGAGCACAGGACCGAGTGGAACGTCTGGTACTGTGCATTCGGTGTCATGACAGCCACACCTTTTTTTTTTTATTTTACAGGAGATTCCCAAGAGGACAGTGTCGTTGTGGTCATATATAAATAGCCAGCTGGAGGAGTTTACCAATCCGTTGTATGTGAACTACTCCAACCATGTGCTGTTCCCCGTAGTCGGCTTACGCCACCTGGAGCTCTGGGTTGGCTACTACATCCGCTGGAACCCTCGCATGAGGCCTCAGGTATGTTGAGAAACCCGTCTTTACTTGCCTTCAGTGTTTTCAAGCGTAATTGTTTGCACTCCATACATGCTCCATTTTAGTTGTTGAACTCCACACATTGTTTTCGATGTCTTTTTTTTTTTTGCCAGGAACCTGTTCATCAGCGCCACAAGGAGCTGCTGGTGAAGCGGGCGGAGCTGCAAAAGAGGGTGGACGAGTTACAGCGCGAGGTGACCAATCGCTCAGCCTCCTCTTCCTCTGAGCGTGCGGGCTCCCCCACACGCTCCATTACCCCGGTGCAAACCTTCGTCTGACACAACTTTGACAGCGCAGACGGTCGCAGGAGCTGAATCCTACCCGAGAGAAGTTGCCATACAGCAGTAGTCCGTTGGCCACACCTGGCGCCACAAAGGACCCGTGTGCCAAACCGGCGTTAATACACTACCACCAAAAGCCTGATGCGTTTCCACCTCTCACAGGTCATGTAGTGTCCCAGACTGCTTTACTACAGCTATATTGTACCCTTCCTCCAGGGTTGAGAGGACATGTAACCAGAATAGTGAGAACACCTACAATCAAGTGTTGATCATTTTTGAAGTACACTAAAATATTCCTTGGGTAAAATATGTATGCCTTATACACTTCATAAGGAACACTCCCTTCATTCTTCGACACTGCAATATTTTAGATATTGAAAGTAGTACCGCTGAAGCATTTGTGAAGATGTACATCGCTGCAAAAAATGATTTTGTGCTCTAGTACTAAAAACGACTAAATGGCTCGGGGGTTGTTGAATATTCAAAATGTAGCCAAAGGGCTGTAACGTTAGCTTCTTCTAATGTTAAAGAACATATAGACGGAGCGCATTAAACAAGTTGTCGGGTTGTCTTCTCAAGTCAGTGCTTTTAGATGGTTGTGACCAAATATCCATGTTTTTTTGTTTTTTTCCATGTATACAAAATGTGTCATGTATGACATTCCTCTCAGTTTTGTTTTTCTAACTAGATATTTATTGTCGTTAGTTAGTCCGGACTGTATTTATGGTTCACAAACACACGCTGTCTCGTTGTCATAAATTGATTAGAGATGTTCCCATGCAATATTAATAAGCTACACAGAATATGCAACCAGTTGATTTGTCCCAGTTAATAGTCGACTACTGAGTAAGAAATGTACACACATTAACATTTTACAAACGCTTTTTAAAGCTATTATCAGACTTTTTTTTTTATAGGCAGCAGAATGTGTAACAACTAATAATTTGCTTTTGGATGTTTTTCTAATGTAATGAATATCTGTGCCTTGCTCTGAATGACTGAATGGGAGAAAAGAAAAAAGTGTGCACAAGTTTTTTTTTAATTGCCAAGAGGAAACAGTAAATACAGTTAGTTAGCCTTTTCACTGTGTATGTCAATACTTGCAATAAAACCCAAAATTAAATTTCAAGGAGTCAGTCTGGTTTGTTACATTAGTGTTCCGTGAACAAAAGACCCTCCAGTTTATTTCTTGCCTTTACCTACTAGTGTTTCAAATCATAGCAGAGCCCCAATGGCATTAATTATCTCTTGTTATGATTATGGTCTTTCCATAAGATATAAGAAAAAGTAAACTTTTATCATAATTTAAGTCTGGCATTTACAGTGTGAATGTGCTTCAGGGTAAATGAAACTGCAGAGGCTCTGAAAACAGTATTCATAATCAAGCTTCACTCTTATACCTAAATATTAGATGACTCGCCATGAATTAGCTTTAAGGCATCTTTTACTTATTAACAGGCTTATTATTCTCTTGATATTAGCTTTTTAGTCATGCCCATTACTTAAAATTAATTTAGATTGCCACTTAGATTGCATTGCTCCCTCTTTAAAAACGTATAGTTAATCTACTACAATAGTTTTTCCACATGATTGAAGGTAGGCTGCTGTGCTGTATGCACTTCATTGCTTCAAAACTTGTTACACAAGTGTCAAAGTGTATTAATATGTTTGTTTTTGGAGGAAACACTATTTGCATATGTTCATCGGCTTCTTACAAGTTTTCATTGTGATGCAGCAAGGCTAATTCTATTTATTTACCTGGCTGTTAATGAACAAGAAACTGATTCCAAGGAGTCACACAAGGACATGAGAGAGGAGAAACGAGGAGACAGTAAGTTGGACTGATTCGGGGGACAGGAAAGAGACCGGAACTGGAGCTGATGGGTCTATCTCATCTCTCCATCCATCATGGCAGCTGAGGTAAAGTAAAGTAAGGTTTACCTGCTCCTAATTTTACCATTACAACTTCTGATACCACACCAAATGTTAAAGCTGTATTTTATTAAGTGTTTTGTTTTTAAATAATAAAATGGAACTTAATGTCACTGCTGCACCGAATTACACCTGAAACCAGGTTATCCAGGACCCCCTCAATGGATTCACTACAGAAAACAATTGGACCTGATAGAAACTACTCAACCCGCAAATAACCTCACTCTGACAATGTTTATGGAAATGTGAGATCTAATCAGTTGGAATAAGCACTGAGTCACACATGACCTATGTTGGTATGATGCTGAATATCATATAGTTTGTGATATCTTGTTGGGTCAAACTGATATTTACAGATGCTCTGCCATACACTGTACACTGTAATAATCTGAAACCTATATATTCTAAATTATATATATTTCCAGTATAAACTCCACCTACCTTATGGACATAAAGTATCCTGTTTCCAGATTCCATATTTATTCAAGCACCCTTGCACTCTGCATCATTTGTATCACTTTTATCTCCATTTCATGGGCATTGTGTTTCATGTTAATATATATATATTTTGTATATTTGTTTGTACATAGTAGTACATAGTAGTAGTATGTTTATGCTTAACTTTGTTGTCCTTGTTTTTGTTTATTTCTGTGTATGTACGTTGAAATTCCTTGTATGCATTACGCATACATGGCCAACAAGGCTGATTGTGAATGAACAGTACATGTATCCATCATGTACAGAATGAACAGTTACTTGTGACGGCACAGCCCCTGTAAGAGTCCCACTGATAGTTTGTTTCAGAGCCTGAATTGTGATTATCTTGTGACTCTCTAGAGCCCCGGGACCTTCACAGTCACACTGCTGCAGCGTGGTTGACTACACCGGGATGAGTTCAGTTTATAGCCATCTACAAACATTTTGTCGAAAATTGATAATTAGCAGACTTCCAACGAGTAGCGATGATTTCCATTTGAGATGATGCAACCTGTCATTACTGACTCAACAGTGACACTTAAATATATCTTCAGACGGTGGAATAATAGCAATGATGCCCAGTGCTATTGTAGTCCTGATGTTACTATTAAACTAGTTATAAAATGCTCTGATTAATGACATGACCATACAGTATGTGGAGCGTGTCGGGTGAATCCAGACATGTGATTGGCTCTGCGCATTTCAAAATGTGAATCCCGCGGACGGATGTTGTGTCGCGATAGGTTTCCTTTCTTCTTCTGCTGGAGCCGTCGACCTCTTCCGGTTACATGACGACGACGGCGTCGATACAAAAAAGAGAGAAGGAAAACAGGAAAATACCTTTCTAGGCGAGAACAGCGGAAACTTCATTTAAATAGACAGATACGTGTGGACGGGTTGCTTGTGTGACGGCATAACTAATGATTGATCGGAAGTTGGTCTGGTTGGATGACGTATGAGCGGTGAAAGATCACAAATATTTGGAGTTTATTGTTCTTCGCCTGCTGCCTCAAGCTAAGCTACTTCTGTGTTGCTCTACGCTACCTAGCCGAGCTAGCTAACGTTAGCTAACACTGGACGCCAACACTGTGTGTGCTAAATTAGCGAACGGCTTGAGAGGAAATAGCGCCGTTAATCCGTTCAGTTTGCAGCTGGACTCCGCTAACCTCTTCTAGCTCGGTGACATCAGTTGGAGGAGAATGGCAACGTCGGCTCTGTACGCCTGTACGAAGTGTAACCAGCGGTACCCCTTCGAGGAGCTGTCGCAGGGCCAGCAGCTGTGCAAGGTACCTGTGTGTGTGTGTGTGTGTGTGTGAGTGTGAGAGAGAGAGATCGAGGATGACCGCCAACGAGACACAACAACAATCCCGAGTGTGGATGTTTGCTCGAGTGTTATTTCCGACTTGGTGTGTTGGTGGTGTTACAAGTTAAGCGAGATCAGATTATGTAACATCCTTCCAACCTGGAAGCGCTAATGCTGTGACTGTAATCTTGTTTAGATCATCCCCGCGACAATCCTGTTTATGAGATGAGTAATAACACAATCATAGTTCATCTTTACCTGCTGAACTTTAATTCTCGGGGCATTGAATTAATTATACTTGTGAGAATTACTGTCTGTGTGTGCACATACTTGTTGCTCTCGCAGACATTTTTTTTTCTGTCAGAGGAATGTGTTGTGGTGGCCTAATGTTCCCACCTTTCTTTACTTAACTGTGTGCACTGATTAATGTTTTTTTATTTTTTTTTTTAGAAACAATGGACAGTGTTATCATTTTGTACACTTCCTTCAAGCACTAAAGTCGTTTCCCTGAATATTCAGAGAACTTCTGTTTGCACAAGATAGTTAAAGCACAAGGTCAACGTGTGAATACTATAAAGTAATCAGTTAGATTTCTCTTTCTTTTATTTTAATATGTAAGAAAGCCACCCACAGTTATCCAACAATGGCTCTGGTAAACGGTGCCCTACTGCAATAACGTGTTGGGTTGACTAAATAAAGTTACAATACAAAATCATTTACAGTACACTTTAGTCTCTCGTATGCACCCACATAGTCAGGTGTTGGTTTCACAGATGTTGTCGCCAAGAGATGTTGCGTAACAAACGTCAAGGTGTGTTGCCAAACACAGCGAGTTGCGTCAGTCTCGTCTTCTGGTGTGTTCATTGTTTTTGCACAGATTCATTTTCGCACTCGTGAGAACATTTCTTTGATTTGTCGCCATAGGAGTGTCGCATCGCACATCCAATAGTGAAGTGCACATTCTGCAGATCTGAGTTTCAGCAGGAAAGGTGAGATAATGTGCTACTTGTGATGAATTTCAGTGCTTATTTGTGGCGTTAATAGTTGAATGTCTTTGCATTTTTTTGCATTTATTTTGGGCCGTAAAACCCCACGTTTTATTCTTTACAGTAAAACCAATACAATCTGCAAGAAGTGTGCTCAGAACGTCAAACAGTTTGGAACGGTGAGTAACAGGTTTCTTAAGCGCCTTGAACTCCAGTTGTATTCCTCTAGTTGCACTGAGTGTACATTTATTATTTTCATGTGTGAATACACTTTTAACATTGTTGTCGTTTTTTGTCCGTCTTTACAGCCCAAACCCTGCCAGTACTGTAACATCATTGCAGCTTTTATCGGGACAAAGTGCCAGCGTTGTACTAACTCAGAGAAGAAATATGGACCTCCACAGACCTGTGAGCAGTGCAAACAGCAGTGTGCTTTTGACCGTAAGGAGGAGGGCAGGAGAAAGGTATGAACCCTATATACCTACAGTCTACTTTGACAGTGAATGCGTAACAGAATTTCTTATAAACTACTGACTCCTACTTGTCTCGCAGGTGGACGGGAAACTGCTGTGCTGGCTCTGTACTCTGTCCTACCGCCGTGTCCTGCAGAAGACCAAGGAGCAGAGGAAGGGCTTCGGCTCCTCCAACTCCTCATCCCTGAATGAGAAAGACCACCACTCCAGACCTCACCATCACCACCACCACCACCAACACAGACACAGCACCTCCCATCACAAGTACGTCCTCTGTTGTGTAACTGTTGAGAATAGTGAAACAATGTAAGTGTGGTTGCTGCCACTACATGGTTAAATTGGGTCCAGCCAACTGACGGCTTACTTATCTTTTGCAGACTGAGTGGGAGTTTGAGTCCTGAGCAGGAGCAGGGACTGTGGAAGCAGAGGTGACACTTTCCTTCTCATTTGAACTGCATAATATATCAGAAAACAATGTATTGATTTAGTTTTTAGGCCCAAGATGTACATTGTCATTTTCTTCGCAGCCATAAATCGTCTTCAATCCAGAAGGAGACTCCAAAGAAGAAACCAAAACTGGAGATGAAGCCATCCAACGGGGACAGGTATGATAAGTGTTGTAATTGTTTGGGGAAAGCATTAAAGAGATTCGAAGTGGGGTTTTACAAAGTACTTATACGTAGTCAGTGTATCACCTACAGTAGATGGCCGTCGAAGCAAAGCAATGTACTGTTGTGGACGGGGGAAGCAACAAAATGTATTTTAGTCACCTAAAAGAAAGGCTCATCTAAACAACAACATCCTGCCTATGTTTTTCCTTCCACTTGTGCCGGTACTGGCCTCATGCTCTTTCCTTTCTCCCAGTAGCAGTTCCATCACCCAGTCGATGGATTCCGGAGGAACCGACAACTTCATTCTCATCAGCCAGCTGAAAGAGGAAGTGATGTCGATG